CTATTTATTCATCAAAGACTCTCAAAAATCAATTTAATAAATTAAAAATGTATAAAAATGTAAGGCATTTACATGGGATATATACTTCATTTTCGTATAGGGGGGGGGGGCAACTTGCCCCGACCCTGGGGCAAGTTGGCCCCCTTGACGTCAACTGCGTTTTTTGTCAAATTGTGAGCCATCTGGCGTTATATTTGAAAAATAATGGCGTTACATACGTAGCTTAGTTCATGGGGCTTACTTTGAAACCGGTTTTGTTACTCCAACCCATTCCTAGTTGGCTCTACAAGGCCAAAAGTGTCTAACTGGACCAACTAGCCCCGGTCTCCCCTATTTTTACTGAAAAAGATCGGTTAAAGTCGCGGTACTTCAGCTGCAGGTACTGACAAAACCCATTCAGCTGCAAATCATGCTGTTGTTATTTGGTTGAATGGATCTTTTGAATCCAAAGATAAAGGCACGCACAAAAATGAGGTAACACAAGATATTCTTGTAAATTGTGCTACTGATCAGCGCATTCATAGTTATCACCAGCCATATACCTCTTTCTGTGTCATAACAGTCCTTGCCATGATATAATAATAATATTTTAACCTTGGTTGGTTACTAAAAGGCGGCTTGAATACACATAAAAATACAATTATATTGTGTTTCAGGTATTCTTTATTCCTCTCATACGTTCTACAGGCTGGCACGGAGGCAGGGACAGTCGTGACGATCTCCCGGTGTCTCTCTTTTTCTACTTTAGAGGCCCAGTTTTTAAAGGGGATCGTACAGATTCCTGCATGCCGTAAATCTATTAGTAAGCGTAAATGACTATGTCCAATATAAACGGTCGACCAATAAAACTAGATACAGGAACTCCAATATTTGTTACTGTAACAAATATTGGAGTTCCTGTATCTAGTTTTATTGGTCGACCGTTTATATTGGACATAGTTTATATTGGACATTATATTGGCCCGTAGCCAGGGGGGTTCGGGGGGTTCGAAAGAACCACCCTTTTTGCTGGGAAAAGGTCCACTCTGAGTAAAATTTGACATATGTTCTTGAGGATTTTATGGTAGAAGATCCACTTTTTCAGCCCCCCCCTCTGAAATTGCTGGCTACGGGCCTGTTACAGTTGCCCTTAATATGGATATATTCTCCGGGTTGGAAGGTTACATAACGATCGAACCTGGCACTGGCTTTAACGAAATCATCTCAGGTGTGGCGATTGTTTTTAGGTGGAAGAGATCAAAAGAGCCAAATGGAAAAAACGAGGCCAAAGTACCTCTACAATTTTAGGGTCGTCACCGGGTCTCCCCTTTCTGTCATCTGAAAGGGATGTACCTTCAATTATTTAAATTTATTACTCTAAAGAGAATTTTGTTTCTAATTTTGGCTTCTCTTCCGTGATTGTGATTTTAATTTAAAAACAGAGACAAATACCTGATCGGCGGATCGGCTGATTTCACTGCCGGATATCAAAATACGTTTTATCTGAAAAAGGAAAAAGTTTTTAAAAAAAGGATCAGTTTCAGCAGCAGAATGGCAATAGGCTCCTGGGGCAGAAAATATAAAAAATATCGAGAAGAAATAAAGTTTAGTTACCTCCGCCAAGGTTTTATTAACACTTCGTTGGTCTGTTTGTTCGTTACCAGC